GACATTTCCATTTATATAAGCAGTGATATGATGCATTCATTTCCTGCATAGAAACGGTGATACAATTACATTTATATATCATCTTATTCTTTAAACTAATCAGCTCTTACTATTTTCCCACCATTAGAACACTTTTCTAATTGCCATATTTGGCTTTATAGTCTCTCCACAGCTGATCCACAGGCTTCCCTAGGATCTGCCTAAAGGAGTCGTCACTATATCCAGTCCTCATCTTCTTGTTCAGTTCTGCCACAAACCCATTTCTCAGACTGTTACAGTAATCCAGAAAATAAGCAGTAACATCATAGCCATGGTCCCACTTATCTCCCTGGCCAGGTTTCACCCAGTGGCTCGGCGCATAGCCAGCTTTGAGCCTCACATAATCAGCAATCCCTTCGATCAACCCTCCATTAGCCCTACCATTCCCATTCCACTGCCATATGTGCGTCATCTCGTGATATAGCACACCAGTTACTTCTCTTCTCACATCTCCATTGTAGTTTCCAACATATCTCGAGCTGAGATGAATCTCGTTGTTTATAGCATATGCCACTCCGTCTTTTTCTTCCACGAACAAGCTAACCTTTTGCACGTTCTTTCTGTCTGCGGGAGAATTCTGCTGCTGAAAGGTCCTCCATATGAATTGCGTTGCAGAGTCCATTGTTTGCTTGGCGTAGGCGGCGCCTACTTTGTCGCGGAAGGCGACACCGCCGGGGGTGGCGAGGGCGGTGTTGGTGACGGTGTATTCGACAGCTTGGGTGCCTTCAATGGCTGCAAGGAGAATCACAAGAAGCGAAGAGAAGACATGGATGAAACGTCGAGCCATGGTTGTGTTTTGGAGCTCTTGAAAGGATAATAAGGTGTTTGCTGATGATTTGATTTGAGAAGTTATGTGCTGAGGATTTTATAGGAAAGTCTGAGGAATAGCTGCAACTTGCGTCCGTGCCGCAACAAGTTAGTGGTCATCGACCTGCCTCCTCAATTAATGTTTGTGCTTTCATAGGTGGACACTAGTTGGTTTAATTTCTAATTTCACACAGGGAAAATAAGTTATTTTATTCATTGTGTTTGAATAATACTCACATGTAGCTTTTATAAGAGCTTGTAATTCGAGCTATCTTCATCTTTTATATAAGATCTTAATTATAATTATCTTTGTTTTTTTTATTTTTGTTCATAATTAAATTTATATGTTACATTAATTAAAAGGTAGGTTAACATAATATTTAGTCTCTCAAATTTGTCTTATTTTGATTTTGGTCCTTTAAATTTTTAATTATAGGTTTGATTCTTTAAGAGGCAAAATGATCCAACTTTTATTAGATTATAGAGATCAATATTTTATATGAAAAGAAACTTGAAGAATTAAAATCTATAATTTGAAATTTGAGGACCAAAATCAAAACGAGAACAAATTTAGAGAATTAGAGTTTGTATTAACCCATTAAAAGGTTGACAACTTGGTATACTACATTCTCTTTTATATTTTGTCTCTCATTACTGCTCTATTTCTTTCTCTTACTTGCTCCTTAATGGCATATTTTTTTTAAAAAATTCATTTCTCACATATTTATTACTTTTAATTGATTTTAATTATTTTCTTTAAAAAACTGACGGAAGTATAATTTAATAATTATTTATATTTTAGGGTGGTGATTTTAAAATAAAATATATATATATTATAATTTTGATAGGCAAAAATAATAAGATAAATTATTTTTGTTTCGTTGGCAAAAAAAGCAATTAATTTTTTGACTGAAAATTATTAACGCTGAATAATAATAATAATAATAATAATAATAATAATAATAATAATAATAATAATAATAATAATAATAATAATAATAATAATAATAATAATAATGTCGTACTTTAAGTTTTCTTCTTCCCGAAAGGAAAGGGGGTAATTGATGACAACGGACCAGGTGCCGGCCATGTTGAATTTTCCATGCATTGACCTTGACTTGGCAAACTGCTTGGATCTCTGGTCCGCAAGTTGGGTATTCTTGGCTTTTACGAATTATTTTATAAGATGAATTTTTCTCTATTTCTGTTTATTGCAGCCCTTTAAATTTATTTCTAGTGTTTGATATATAATAATATTACCTTCTATTCTAGATATATAATTTCGTTTATAATTTATAAATAGAGTATTATATTTAAGATCAAAAATAATACTCCTCCGGTCCTAAATATAAGACCTTTATACTAGTGTGTATAAGGGTCTTACATTTAGGATCGGAGGAGTAGTATAATTTATTAAATCTCAATCATTAAAGTTGAGATTGAAGGTGGGCAAAGCAGGGGATTCAGTTTGAGAATCTGATAAGTTCATATTAGAATTCAACTATTCATATTTACTCTTCCGGTCCTTAATACAGGACTCAATTGTTGAGTTAGTTTTGGTCTTAAATATAAGACCCATTTATCATATTTTTCAATTTTCTTTAAATTACCCTATGGATACTCCCTCAACTATAATAAAGTAGAAGAAGAATAGGGATATTAAGAATAATGATTATGGTATTTTAGAAAAAACGTGTCACATTTCTTATAATTAACTAACTTACCTAACTTCCTTAATCTAATCAAATTAGTTAAATGGGTCTTATATTAAGGACCGGAGGAGTAATATAATTTTATCTTTATATTTTTTTAATATCTTAAGATGTCAAAATCCAAAATAAGATTATTTTTTAACTTTTGATTTATTAAAAATATTTTTATTTTTACCCAAAAAATTATTATTATTTAAACTATGCAGATCACACCATAGCGGGAACTGGAGGAGGGATCATGGGGAAGCTAATTCCAAGAAAGCTTGCGTGTGCGCTTTTGGTATGGCCATGATGCCATTAGCCAAGTATGTGCCCGGGCTATTTCCTAAAATTACCCAAGTTGTTTAAAGGAAACAAATTACACATTTATGCCCGACATTTCTAAGAATTTTTCAGAAACGTCCTCATAGTTTGAATTTTTTTAAAAACTACTCCCTTAAAGCACTAGCGTTGAAGCCGCTGCATCCGGCTCCTATTCTTTCACGTATTGAAGCAGGGACGCCGACCCTGCGCCAACGGCGTGGTGCTGTGAGGTGGGCTGTTTGGGCTTAAAATAAATGAGCACAAAAGGAGCCCGAGTTTACTAAGCGGTGGTTGGGCCTTACTGTCAGTATTTAGGCCCAATGGAATAAATTGCAAGTTATATTTAAAAATTGTTTTATTTATTTTTTTCCAGGTAAATGTCATACCCATGTATTTACAGTTGTTTAAATTGATATTTATAACTCATTTTTCAATAAAATTTTTCATGAGCTTAACCATCATTAATTCCCTTTTTGGGAACCTCATTGTCCTTCTCCTATTAGTTTATCTCTACTTTCTCATCTGGTAATCTTTCATATAGTAACATAATTACTTGGAAAATATTCTTCCGAGAGGTATTATTCATATCAATTGCTTGATAAATTTTGCAAAATATCATATAAGTAAAAATGAAATAAAGTTTTAAAAATGTTCTATAAATAAGAAATTATCCACACTTCAAAGTGAATGAATGAATCATTGAACGCTCATGCTCATGTAGCTCTGTCTACCCTTTTGAAAAAAGAAGAAGAAGAAGATTATGATTCATTCATTGGTCGTCACAAAGTCTTAATTTCTTCAACCTCTGATACTTTACTTTCACATTATTAATTCTCTTGAATAATAATATAATATAAAACGAAACTGATTTAGGTGCTAATCACCTCATCATATCCGGATCTATGATTTCTGTGTTTCAATCGGGCTTGAATGCGTTTGAAAGTCTTGAGATGACTTGCAGAAAAAAATGGTTCTAGGCGTAACAAATGGTCCATTTATTGATAGGCGGAAATTGAACCCGTCCATGGTGGATTCACAATCTAGTGCCTTGATCCACTTGGCTGCATCCTTTCAGATCTAGTTTGAATAGTTTATATTTAACATTTTTAATTAATTATTTATAAATAAAAAATTAGTTAAAAAATGATAGTTAAATGTTATCTTTATTTTAGATTATATACCTATTAAAATAATTATTTTAAATAAATAAAAATTAAAAAAAATCAAATCAGATCTGATTAGAGTAGGACAACTTATAACTGATGAGTTTAGAGTGTTCCACAAAGTGATGATAAGCAAAACATAAACAATAATACTCCCTCGGTCCTTATCATCATAAAGATCAACAAGAAAATCTATACGTAGATAATATTTTAATGGAGGTGCGAAACTTAAACCTCAGCGTTCGCGGAATCAGTCAGCCACGTCATGTGTTCATTCAAGGATATACCTCTCGTATTGCAGACACGTGGTTGCTGCCCAAAGAGTTTGTATTGTTTGGGTGAAAATCAACAACGTTGAACCAAAACGCAGTGGTCATAAATAATTAACCAAAGGTTTCCGATTCAGGATTCTCTGATGTGATCATTTGGATATTGTCTGTTCTGACTACGGAATAGTTTTGTTGACCAAGTCCTCTAGTTTAATTTAATTTCCACATCTTGACCAATATAGGTCTAAGAGACCTTGGATTGAGTGACTCTTTGTAAGATGTGGGTGCCTTGATTGCTCTGATTTAATTCATAACTAAGGTTGCTTTCGTCGTCCGTGTAGGTTGTTTCTGCTTTCTGTGAGTCTTTAATTTCTGTGTATCCAATTGTTTATCTGTATTTCTGCCATCTGCTTGATCAGAGCATACGTATTCATCATAAGATCCCCTTCGTACTTAATGATTTGGATAATTTCAAAATCAATTTATATTAAGAATCAAGCAAACATCTAGTATATACATACTGTAAAGTTTAAACTTGTCCATTCTGCAGAAAATTAAAGCATACACAGCTGGAGCAACATATATACATACGACATTTCCATTATAAGCAGTAATAGTATGCATTCATTTAATAGACAAATGACGATACAACGTATCATCTTATTATATGTTCTTTCTAAACTAAGAAGCTCTTCTAAGCTAATTAATTATATATAAGACACTCGCAGATTGCCAAATTTGGCTTTATATTCTCTCCAAAGCTGATCCACTGGCTTCCCAAGAAGCTGCCTGAAGTAGTCGTCACTATAACCAGTCCTCATCTTCTTGTTCAGTTCTGCAACAAACCCATTTTTCAGACTGTTACAGTAATCCAGAAAACGAGCAGTAACATCATAGCCTTGATCCCACCTATCTCCCTGACCAGGTTTCACCCAGTGGCTGGGTACGTAGCCAGCTTTGAGCCTCACATAATCAGCAATCCCTTCGATCAACCCTCTATTGGCCTGCCCATTCCCATTCCACTGCCATATGTGAGTCATCTCATGATACAACACACCCGTCACTGCCCTTTTCAGATCTCCTGAGAAGCTTCCAACGTACCTTGCACTGAGATGGATCTCGTTGCCTCTTGCAAATGCGACTCCATCTATGTCGTCTTCCACGAGCAAGATCACTCTCTGCAAGTTCTTTCTGTCTGCCGGAGAATTCTGCTGCCGGAAGATCCTCCATATGAACTGGGTTGCAGAGTTCATTGTTTGCCTGGCGTAGGCGGCGCCTATTTTGTCCCGGAAGACGTGGCCGCCGGGGCTGGCGAGGGCCGAGTTGGTGACGGTGTACTCGACTGCTTTGGTGCCTTCAATGGCTGCGAGAATCACAAGAAGCGAAGAGAAGACATGGATGAAGCGTTGAGCCATGGCGGTGCTTGGAGCTTTGTAGGACAGAGCGGAGGAGTGTTATCTGTTGGGGTTTTTATAGGAAGCTGTTTGATGAATAACCACAACTTAATTGCATCCGTATAGCAACAGGTTGGTGGTCAGTCCAACAGCTCTAACTAATGTTATTTACTTTCATATTTTTGAAATTGATTTTTTTCTTTTATATGGAAAAAAAATAAATCATGCTATGTTCATCTTGTTTCAATAGCATATTATTATCGATTTTATATTTTTTGAGTAGTAGTCTTAATGATAGAAAGTTCTATATATGCTTGTCAAAAAAACATGATTGAAAGTACAATTTTATTCTTTCTTCAGGATCGGATTGTTATTTTTTTTTTTAAAAAAAGTGTATATAGATAAAGTTGAAATATTATTAAAATTTTAAAATAGAATTAATAATATTTAAATTTTTTTAATTATAATTAAACATACTAAAAGTAACTTATGAATATGACAATAGAAATATTTCTTATTATTTCAAATAAGCAGAAATCAAGACAACCGATGTCCCACCAATAAGCATCAAACGGCGAGCACAGCCAAGGAAGAGGTGGTGGTAGGTCCTTCTTCATCCTTTAACACCTTGCTTTCACGTTATTAATTCTATTTAATATAATAATTAACATAAATAAATGCTCCTTCTTCTGTCCTTATTATCATAACATAAACGGATAAACCTCACCACTCTTGGAACCGGTCCGCCATATCATGTTCAAAGATGCTCCTTGGTTTCGTAATGTAATTAAGTCGTCTTCTCTCAACTTTAATTGCTTATTCCAGAATGTAAGTCTCTCTCTTTTGCCTTTATGTACAATTCGTTACTATAACTCTATAAGTACTGTAATTACTCACTCTGCTTTTATTTAAAAGTTTCGTGTGGTTTATTTTATAAGTTTTAATTTAGGTTTGTCTTAACATTAATTAATGTAATTTTTTTATTTTTTTCCTTGTTTATTTATTCTTTTTTATTTGTTATACTCTCTCTTAACATATTTTTTCCGCACATTTTTTTATTATTTTTCTTATTTTTTACAAGGACATATTTAAAAATAAAAATATATTTTTAAATTATTTATTATTTAATGAATTAGTTATTTGAAGTTTATATAATAAGGACCAAAGGGAGTATTTCATTATGATTAATATAAGGATGTACTCCCTCAATTCGGTTCATAATATAAGACGTTAGTTAGAAAAAAATTGTGATCTTGTCAAAATAATTAATATAATTTTTCATTTTTACCCCTATTAAATATAGGAAAGAGATGAGAGATAATAAAAGTATAACATATAACTTTATTATTTTTGTAAGGGCAAAATAGAAAAACTCTATTATTTTAAAACACATTTAATGATTAAACTTATATGTAAAAAAATTAATTAATTTTTATATTATGAAATGGAGTGAGTGGTTGAAAAATACGACAAATTTATTACACATGCATTTAATGATATAACTTAAGTTTCTTCTTTTTTTTGTGCGTGATAGTTAAAATATAAACACATACGTCTCATAAAAAAAAAATATAAACACATTGTCAATAGGAAAAGTGGCTCCCGTGTGGACAAGTGGTTTGATTCTTTTGAATAATTCTTGGAATAATTCTGATTTCTGAAGGAAACAAATGTAGGGTATGCAATAAATTGGATCTTACGTTCGTGTTTGTGAAAAGATTTCTGATTATGACATTTAATGGGATGCATTGATTATTATCAGTTAATTTTGTCCGATGCTCTTAAATAAGCTTTAACTGAGTTTGTCCCAATTTGCTTCACTATTCCTGTGTTCAAATCACGCAATCATTTTAAAAGTAATCTAACCAATGCTCATAACTTGTTATCTTTACAGATTTGATTATTTGAAGGTTTTATATTTTTCTTCCAAAATGCCACGTGTTCATATCTAGCAACCTCCCATCCATGAAACCATTCTCAAAAGTCCATCAAAATAAATCAATAGCCTTGTAAATATGACTCCTTCTTTTTTTAATGAAACTGTAAATTTGACTTAACCATCAATAAAATTGATTAACCCTTAAACAAATAACAAAGAGACAAGGGGCGAATATAGACACAGTGAAATTTAAACTTGTCCATTTTGCAGAAAAGCATACTCACTTCAGTGAGAGCAACATACATTCGACATTTTCATTATATAAGCAGTAATATTATGCACTCATTTCACAGACAAACCACGATACAGTACACACGTATCATCTTGTTATATCATCTTGTTATTATTTAAACTAAGTAGCTAGCTCTTCTTATCTACTCATATATAAGATACTTGCAGACTGCCAAATTTGGCTTGATAGTCTCTCCAAAGCTGATCCACAGATTTCCCAAGAAGCTGCCTAAAGAAATCGTCACTATAACCAGTCCTCATCATCTTGTTCAGTTCTGCCACAAACCCATCTCTCAGACTGTTACAGTAATCCAGAAAATAAGCAGTAACGTCATAGCCTTGATCCCACCTATCTCCCTGACCAGGTTTCGCCCAGCGGCTCGGCGCATAGCCAGCTTTGAGCCTCACATAATCAGCAATCCCTTCGATCAACCCTCCATTGGCCTGGCCAATCCCATTCCACTGCCATATGTGAGCCATCTCATGATACAGCACACCAGTCACTTCTCTTTTCACATCTCCTGGGTATGTTCCCACGTAAATTGCACTGAGATGGATCTCGTTGCCTCTTGCAAATGCGACTCCACCTATGTCTTCCACGAACAAGATCACTTTCTGAACATTCTTTCTGTCTGCGGCAGAATTCTGCCTGAAGATCCACCATATGAACTGGGTTGAAAAGTCCATTGTTTCCCTGGCGTAGGCGTCGCCTATTTTGTCTCGGAAGACACGGCCGCCGGAGGTGGCGAGGGCAGTGTTGTTGACGGTGTAGTCGACTGCTATGGTGCCTTCAATGGCTGCGAGAATCACCAGAAGAGAAGAGAAGACATTGATGAAGCATTGAGCCATGGCTGTGTTTGGAGCTAGCTCAGCTCTTGAAGTATAATTAGTTAACTCCCGATCAGAGAAGAGTTATGTGTTGGAGTTATGTGCCTTTGCACCTCAGGTTGGGGCAGAGACACACCTTAAAGATAAGTTTTGGGAAGATATGGAGGGCTTGGTTCAAAGCATACCACTCGAAGAAAAAAATTTTATCGGTGGGGACCTTAATGGACATGTTGGTAAAGAAGCAAGACAATTCAGCGGGGCCCATGGTGGTTTTGGTTTTGGGGAGCTTAACAGTGGAGGACAATCTATTCTCGATTTTTCTCTTGCATACAATCTTAAGATTGTCAAAGAAGCGAGAGGAGCATTTAATCACGTACAAAAGTGGTGTCTTAAAATCACAGATTGATTTCTTTTTGGTTAAGAATCCGGACAGAAGATTGTGTACTAATTGCAAAGTGATTCCAGGAGACGGGGTGAGTGCCCAACATAGAGTACTTATCCTTGATGTATGTTTTAAGAGTACCAGGCAAAAGTACCATCAAGTGGCAAAACCCAGAATTAAGTGGTGGCAGTTAAAAGGAGAGAAGCGGGAGTTATTCAAAAGGACTCTTTTGAAGGAAGGGAATTGGGAGTTGCAGGGAAATGCAAACATGATGTGGGAAGAGATAGCTACAAGGGTTTGTTTGGTAGCTAAAGCAATTTTGGGAGAATCCAAAGGTCCTGGTCAAAGAGATAAGGAGACTTGGTGGTAGAATAAGAGTGTGCAAGAGAAAGTCAACAAGAAAAAAGATTGTTTTAAGGCCATACACTTGTGCAATAGTGTAGAGAACCAGAAAAAGTATCAGTTGGCTAAAAAAGAGACAAAGAGAGCAGTGAGCGAAACACGTACTAAAACTTATGAAGGGTTTTATCAGGAGTTAGGAACAAAGACGGGAGAAAGAAATATTTACAAGATCGCGAAGCAAAGGGAGAGGAAAAAGAGAGATCTGGATCAAGTTAAGTGTATAAAGGATGAAGATGGTAAAGTGTTAGTTACTGATGGTGATATTAAGGACAGATGGGAGGCTTACTTTTACAAGTTATTTAATGAGGGAAGCAATTATGCGACTCATGACTTGCAGGACTTGCTAATTAACGAAGATGATCGGAATTTGGCTTTCTACCGCAGGATACGTATCGGAGAGGTTAAGGCGGCTCTCAAGAAAATGGACAATGGAAAAGCCGTTGGGCCTGATGGTATCCCTATTGAAGTTTGGAAATGTTTGGGCGATGAGGGGGAGGTATGGCTAACCAAGCTTTTTAATGAAATTCTACGCTCTAAAAATATGCCGGATGAGTGGAGGAAAAGCATTTTAGTTCCTATTTACAAGAATAAAGGAGACATTCAAAACTGTGCAAGCTACAGGGGGATAAAACTTATGAGTCATACAATGAAGTTGTGGGAAAAAGTGATGGAATATAGATTGAGGTTGGAGACTTCTATTTCGGAAAACCAATTTGGATTTATGCCAGGGAGATCCACATCGGAAGCAATCTATTTACTAAGGGGGTTAATGGAGAGATATAGAAGTAAAAGAAGAGATTTACATATGGTTTTTATTGACCTGGAAAAGGCTTATGATCGTGTGCCAAGAGAAGTATTGTGGAAGGCTTTGGAAAAGAAAGGTGTACGGGTTGCGTATATCAAAGTCATACAAGATATGTATGAGGCGGTAACTACCAGTGTAAGGACGCCTGGGGGGGAGACAAAGGACTTTCCTATTAAGATTGGCCTACATCAGGGATCCTCTCTGAGTCCGTACTTGTTCAACATTGTTCTGGATGTTCTAACTAAACCTGTTCAAGAAAGAATCCCTAAGTCCATGCTCTTCGCGGATGATATAGTTCTTATGGCGGAATCAAAAGAAGAGATTAACACTAGTTTGGAGTTATGGAGAAGGACTTTGGAGTCGAAAGGTTTCCGTTTGAGCAGGAACAAAACAGAATATATGCATTGTGATTTTGGAGGGAGGCAAGGTAATAGGGATTTGGAGGTGAGGATGGGAGAGCAAATTATTCCTCAAGTATCAAAGTTTAAATACCTAGGATCCATTATACAGGAGGATGGGGAAATTGATGGAGACATTTCTCATAGAATACAAGCTGGCTGGTTAAAGTGGAGGAAAGCTACCGGAGTTATTTGCGATAAGAAGGTACCTGAGAAACTTAAAGGAAAATTTTATCGGACTGCTATAAGACCAGCTATGATGTATGGTAGTGAATGTTGGGCAATAAAGGGAAAACAAGAGCACAAAGTCGGAGTAGCAGAAATGAGGATGTTGAGATGGATGTGTGGTCATACAAGAAAAGATAGGATTCGAAATGAAAAGATCAGGACAAGAGTCGGTGTGGCACCTATCCAAGAGAAAATGGTTGAAAATCGCTTAAGATGGTTTGGACATGTGCAGAGAAGGCCTTTGGAGGCCCCGGTGAGGAGGGTGGATCAAACAAGATGGAGTCCCATAAAAAGAGGCAGGGGAAGACCGAGAAGAACGCTGAATGAGGTCATTGAACGAGACCTCCTAATCAACAACATATCTAAGGATTGGGTTGTTGACAGAGCACGATGGCGTCGTGTGATTCATGTAGCCGACCCCACCTAGTGGGATAAGGCTTGTTGTTTGTTTGTTTTTATAGGAAGAAGCCTGAGGATTATAACTGCAACTGCATCTATATAGCAACAAGATAGTGGTCATGGAGCTGTTAGACTTATGTTATTGTTTTCATGTTTCTGGAATTAGTTCATTATTTTAAATATGTAAAATAAAAAGCCGCCGGGTTAATATAATGTGAATCATATAATATTTGTTGGTGTACGTGTGCTTATATATATATATACACACACATATATATATATATAATTCAATGGTCATCTGTGCTTATTACAATGTCGATGTAAGGAGTACGGTTCAATCGTGTATTTTTCCTTCTGTTTGTTTATCTGATCCCGCCTTGACGTTGACTACGGCTGCTATAAAGTAAAAGTCACTCTTAACCTCAGCGCAACGTAACTTTTATGCCTGCAGAGTTCAGTTTCAACTGCTGGAAGTCTTCTTCTCAAGTTTATTTATGCGAATATATAAGTCCTTTTTCTCCCTTCTTTTGCCTCGATGTACAATTTAATACCATAAAGTAATTAATTCACTATGATTAATGTTGGAATTTTTACATATTCATTATATTTAACCAATTTTAACTGATTTTTTGAATTGCATAAGTTAGTTATTTATGCTTATATGGGAGTATTAAATAAGGATAAAGTTAAAAAGTTGTTAAATTTCAAGACATGATCAATAAGACTTAAGGTTTTCTCTTGATTTTGATAAAATATGTTGGAAGTGACTTATAAATAAAATCAAAGAAGTATTTGAAAAATACAAGCTACTCCCCCAATTCTATATATAACTAAGCAATAACTACTGTGGATAAAAATATTAGTTAAAATTAACTGAAAGCAATAAATGTAATTTTCTTCTAAATATACTCTTATTTATGAATATGAAGAGCGAGTGGAAAAAGAGCAACTAGATAAGGAAAACATGTAATTAATTGGAGGAAAAAGTGAAAAAGTGCAGTAATTTTGTAGACAAACACAAAGTGTTGCTTACATATAAAATAATAAAACCAACCAACCCTATGTTGAAGAAGTTTCTTATATGTAGGTCCAAAAGGAGTACAATTTTATTATATATTTAATGTATACTCCTTTGGTCACATTATAAGGTAGAGAAAAATCTTTTTTTCTTCTTTTACTTATAAATCATATTATCAAATTTTTAACATAAATGTACTATATTCAATACGGGCAAAGTCGAAAATCTATTAAATTTTAATCCAAAGTTAATTAATGATATTTTAGACTTTTCTTAATTCTAATAACATATGTTAGAATAATTTATAAATTGGATGAAAAAAATTTGGGGGGGGGTGTTAGTTAAACTAAACACATGTTGTCAATAGGAAAAGCCGAAAATTGCCTCTCATGTGGACAAGTGGTTGGGAATAGCTTTGAATATTTCGTGAAACGGATATTAATCTTAATTACGTGTTTGGGATAAGATTTGTGATTTGTGATTACGACATTTAATGGAATACGTGCATTGATTATTATCAGTTAATTTTGTCCGATATTCTTAAATAAGCTTTAACTGAGTTTGTCTCTATTTGCTTCATTATTCATGTATTTATATTACGTAATCATTTTAAAAGTGCTCCCTCAGGTCTTTTTCATAAGAACCTGAAATTTAAATTATCCTTTTTATAAGATCTATTTGTGATTATATGAACATTTAATGTGTTTTTATCATTTTTATTTTTTATTAATTTTACTATTTTTTCATACTTTTTTTCCTCTTACTTGCCCCTTAAATAAGGCCATGCTTAAAAACAAAAATTAATTTTTTACATATTTAATATTTTTAACTATTTTTTTTACAGATTAAGATTTTATATCTTCCTTTTACCAAAGAAAAAAAGATTTTATATCTTCCTCCCAATGCCACGTGTTTTACATCTAGCACCCCCCCCAATCCACGAAATCCCCGAAAGTCCATCAAAATAAATCAATCAATTAATCATCAAAAAATTGATTAACCCTTAGTATAAACATATCTTCTACTCCCTCCATTCCTTATTATAAGAGACAAATAACCGAATTACGTTGATCAAAAAAATAGTTAAAATTAGTTAAGAAGAATCAATGTATAAAAAGTATAATTTTTTTTTCCAAAAATGCCCTCAATTATAAGAAGAGAGAGCATGAGAGAGAACAATTAAATTATTAAAAGAAAGAGAAGTAGGAGGGAGAGAGAGTGTGATTTGGAGACAATAAATATGAGTAAAATAGGAAATCAACACAAAAAGTAGAGACAACTTTTAAGTGTCTCTTATATATAAGAACATGTCATAAGTATCAAATGTTTCTTATAATAAGGAACGGAGGGAATATTTAATAAACCTCTATGATGGATACGTATGACATTGTTTATTTTATTCCCATCCCGTGATCGCACCGCTACAAGTACAAATCCTTCGTCTCTAAGATGTTAGACTCTCTCTCTCTCTCTCTCTCTCTATATGTGTGTGTGTGTGTGTGTGTTTGGGTCATCTCCATACTCGCTATCTATATTCTGCCCATTTAATTTAACTGCGTATGCTACTAAATATGTTATTGCTAACTGTAGTTAAATGCTGCCTCGCTTGGGACATCATCTGGATGATGATGAAGACATTATCCTTGATATGTACTACTTCTTATCCTTAATATAAGAGCTAGTTTGACTTTTAATTTAGTTCTAAATATAAAATCGCAATTTACTTTGTCTCTCATGTTTATCTTTTTTTTTTTTAATATAGTCATTTTAGTAGTTACACATGTTAAATATTTCATTAAATGAGACTTTATTAGTAAAAGTATTTTAGGGAAGACATCACCTATTTATTACAAGTAACTAAACTAATTTTCTTAATCTACTTAAATTAATCAACTAACTCTTATATTAAGAATTGGAGGTATTACCTCTTTTGTAGATTTAATTAGTTATAAGCCTCTTCTTCGCAAGTTTTTTCATGGCCTTCGATTATGTAACCCAGAAAAAGAAGCAGGGTTAACTTTAGTAAAGATGTTCTAGATTTTGATTAATTTTTTCTAAAATTCCTCTCGTTCAATGAGAATCATCAACCCTTCTTATGGATAAAGGGTATTTTGGATTAAAAAAATTAATGATTTAGAAGATTTCTAAATCACGTTAATTAAACATTCTGGAACGACCCTTAAATATGCACAGTAAAATTTAAACTTGTCCATTTTGCAGAAAAGCATACGCAGCTAGAGCAAAACCTTCACACGACTTTTCCACTATATAGGCACTTAAGCAGTAATATGATGCATTCACTTCATAGACAAAACGATGATAAAGGACGTATGTATCATCATCTTGTTATTCTTTAAACTAAGAATAATCTCTTCTTAGCTTCTTATATATAAGACACCTCCAGATTACCAAATCTGGCTTTATAGTCTCTCCAAAGCTGATCCACAGATTTCCCAAGAAGCTGCCTAAAGTAGTCGTCACTATACCCAGTCCTCATCTTCTTGTTCAGTTCTGCAACAAACCCATTTCTCAGACTGTTACAGTAATCCAGAAAACGAGCAGTTACATCGTAGCCTTGATCCCACCTATCTCCCTGACCTGGTTTCACCCAGTGGCTCGGTGCATAGCCAGCTTTGAGCCTCACATAATCGGCAATCCCTTCGATCAACCCTCCATTAGCCCTACCGTTGCCATTCCACTGCCATATGTGAGCCATCTCATGATACAGCACACCAGTCACTTCTCTTTTCACATCTCCTGAGTATCTTCCCACGTACCTTGCACTGAGGTGGATCTCGTTGCCTCTTGCAAATGCGACTCCGTCTATGTCTTCCACGAACAAGCTCACTTTCTGAACATTCTTTCTGTCTGCAGCTGAATTCTGCCGGAAGATCCTCCATATGAACTGGGTTGCAGAGTTCATTGTTTGCCTGGCGTATGCGGCGCCTACTTTGTTCCGGAAGACGCGGCCGCCGGGGGTTGCGAGGGCGCTGTTGGTGACTGTGTAATCGACCGCTTTGCTGCCATCAATGGCTGCGAGAATCACCAGAAGAGAAGAGAAGACATTGATGAAGCGTGGAGCCATGGTTTTGTTGTGGATCTCTTGAAGGATAAGGTGATATTAGGGAAGAGATATCTGCTGGGGTTTTTATAGGAACAAGCCTGAGGAACATCGAACTGTTCAACTGACGTTGTTGCTTTCATATTTTTGATATTAGGTTATTCTTTTAAATGATTTTAAAGTTAACATATAGGTCGGATAAGCTTAACAATAAAATAATTAAAAAAATCTTGACATTTTTTTACTGAAATCTTTGATGCCCAACAATAATAATGTAACATACACTTCTGATCCTAAATATAATATCTATTTTATAACATAAATTATATTATAAAATGAGTTTTATGGTTAAACTAAGAGGAGGGATATTAGGTACTCCTCCGGTCCTAATTATAAGACCCAATTGACTTCTTTGAGGAGATTAAGGAAGTAAGTTAAGTTGGTTATTTATAATAAATAAGTGTTGTCATTCCTAAAATATCCTTGCTAATTAAGTATATTGGCTAAAACTATCATTATTAGAAGGATTATCTTGGAAAAAAATGCATAAACATAAGAAACAAAATGGATTGGGTCTTATAATTAGGACCAAATAAAAAGTCAAATTGGGTCTTACAATAAGGACCGGAGGAGTATTTTATATTTTTCTCTCGAAAGGAAAGGCGACAGTTGGCAAGGCTCCATTCATTTACTTTGACTTGGCTAGCTCCCTGTGTCTTTGCAAATTTGATGACGATGTGCCCCTGAAAGTTGTTGATTTAATGAATTTAGCTCTTTTGGATGTTATCTTCTTTTAATTTTTGGAAGGAGCCGCCGGGTTAATATAATACAAATCGTTATAATGTAGTATGTCGGTGTGTGCTTTTATATATGTATACACTCACATACACTACTTTTGATCCGTAATATAAGATCCAGTTAACTAATTTAGAAAGGTTATGAGAGTTATTTATATTTATCTCTTTTTTTTTTCAACTAATTTGCCTCACATATAAATTGATATATAATTTAATAATATATATAAATATTTTAGAAAGATCGATCATATAACATCTATTATAATTAAGTGATTTAGCAACTTTCTTAATCTCTTTCAAAATAATCAACTGGATCTTATATTAAGCATCAGAGGTAGTATTTAAACTCGGCGCAACTGCCATGGTAGATGCTTCGGAGTTCAGTTTCAATAGCTGTGCAAGATCCCAAGTTATACACATTAAACCACAAAATCCATAATATTTGTTAATATATATGTATATGTTAATCCTATTCCTTAATATGAGAATTAGTCAGAAAGCTGGATTTAGTCATACATGTGAAATATTCATCCACTTTATTTTTTATATTTATTATTTTCTCTGAGTCAACTGAATTATAAACTGATATATAATTTAATATTATAAAAATATTTTAGAGAAATCATGTCATATTTATTATAATTGACTAACTTTTTTTGTTCTCTTAATGTATTCAAAATTTTAAATTAATTAAGTGACTCTTATAATTAGAAATAGTCTATTATTATTGGGTGTTAATAACGTGAAACTAAACTAATAAAGGATGAGGACATATTCCTACTTATGAAATAAAAAAATTCAAAATGTGTCCCTTTCCTGGTTCAATAATGTTAATAACGCGAATACAAAGAAGTCTATGAAGTTAAGAAGGACCTACCACCACCTATTCATTGACTGTGTTGTTTTAATATGCATGTTTGGCATTCATTACCCTCTTGATTGGCCCTTTGATATGTTTCCAGGCAGCTTATAGGGGAAAACCTTGGGAGTCTCCACAATGTTCTCTATCAGAAAAGGTGGAGAATATAACCAAATTGACCCTTTTGACTCCCTTTGCACACACGCCAAAAAAGTTGGAGTGAATATTCTTGAAATTAATATTATTTTTAAAAAAAGGATATTTGACAATGTACGTTTTATACTGTTCAAATTTGAATGGGTTTAAGATTTGATGGCTATCAGAATGTCACAGGGTACCACAACAAGGAAGAACCTTACGTACGTATAGGCATTATATTGATTTCCACTTGCCCCGTCGTCACTTCGCTTATTAATTTGCCGCCCACCCGTTTCGAAGTTTCACCCGTGAACTGCATTAACTACGGATTTGGTTTCACCCCACTTTCCCCGGCAATTTAATTTGACCAAATAGTTACTGAATTTGACCAGCATCCGAACGAGTAATTATTATTTTCTTAAACTAGTCATTATAATTTCATAATTATCATTAACATTAGCGTCGCTATCTGTTTAAATTTAAGAATTTAGTATGCATTTTTAATCACAAAAATTTTAAGACTTGTTTAAAATAACTTATAAACAGTTTTTTAATCATGATTATGAAATACGGGTAAGTCCTTGTTTACAAGCACTTAAATAAACAGATCCAGGCAATGCCTTAATAAACCACTTATTTATGCAGAGTTTAATTCCATTACTGAATTATCATCTGCTTTTCGAACTAATTATTAGAGTCAATCTACACGATTAGAAAAGGGTTTGAATTGTCTAAAACTCTTTATAATGACATTTGAAAATTATTTTCGTATTCTTAACGCCGAAGACTCATCCTACTTCTCGGAAATTTTACAATAAATATTTGCTTCATAAAGCCACAGACGATCCCTATATAAACACTTAGCGTATTCACGTTCTCCATCACAAAACAATCAAACTGAAAAACATACATATCATCAGCATAATTCATGGATCATCATCGCCATTACTCTTTCTTCTTCCTCTGTGCTGTTGCAGCCTTAGGGCTAGCAACCTTGAAAGGCATCCATGGAGTTGAGTTCGTGGTCACAAACAACGCAGAGACAACTCCAGGTGGCACCCGATTCAACAACGAGCTTGGAGCAGACTACACAAAGCAAACCATGGACGCAGCCACCAACTTCATCTGGAGCATCTTCCAGCAGAATACCGACGCCGACAGGAAGAACGTCGCCACCGTAACCCTAACAGTTGAAAACAGCGTCGTAGTCAACGGCGAAACGGTAATCGCCGCCACAAGCAACGACGCGATCCATGTCGGTGCAGACTACATAGAGGGAATAAAAGGCGATACCAAAACAGACTTTAACGGCGTGTTGTACCATGAGATGGCTCATGTGTGGCAGTGGTTTGGGACAAACACCAACATGGGACTCATCGAAGGGATCGCTGATTTCGTGAGGTTGAAGGCTGGGTATGCGCCGAGCAACTGGGTTCAGCCAGGCGGCGGTGATCGGTGGGACCAAGGCTACAGTGTGACGGCGAGGTTCTTAGATTACTGTGAGGGTCTCAGAAGTGGGTTCGTGGCTGAGTTAAACAAGAAGATGAGAGACACTTACAATGACGATTACTTCAATCAGTTGCTGGGAAAGCCTGTGGATCAGCTCTGGAATGACTACAAGGTTGCTTATGGTGGCTAATTAATAAGACAGGATAGCTACGTATATACGGATCTTCGTCTTCTTTTTGTTGTTGTTGTTGTTATATGAAAAAATAAATAAAACAGACACATGGTTGTATATGTACAATGTTTAATTATACAGCTATATGCGCAGCTATAGATAGAATAAATGAGCGTGTGATGAGCAGTAATTCATTGAAAAGTTATGTCTTGACGTGATTTGTTTAGTGCTCCGTCCCATCCCTAATACACATACGAGCTAGTGACCAATTAATTTGGATAAGTTAAAAGATTAATTAATTAACTAATCATAACATTATAATATAATCTCTTTAAAATACCCTGGTAAAACATATTATGTATATATAAGTTTACAAGCTAAGTAAATTGATTTGATAAAAATAATAAATATAATAGATAAAGTGAATTAAAATATTATATATTTAGGAAAAAAATTCAATCCCTCAACTAGTTTATAGTGATATATTAGGGACTGAGGGAGTATTTATAGTTCACACGGTGTTCAAAGTAAATTAAAGATAATATAAAAATAAAGTCAGCTACTCAGCTCTAATTCATTCCGCTTATTCATTTAGTATTTACCACAAAGTCATCAGCAGCTTGCTTTCATTCATTTACTATTTTTTCATATGTGTTGAAGGAGAGGGATTATTTTGGTATTTTAATATTTCGGATCGAAATAGTGTGCCAAATCGGTTTATATGTTTTTGTTTGGGATTCGTTGAAGGAAGCTCAATGGACCCTTTTGGCGTCTGAAGCTGCTTTGAACTCACGCATATGACTGTTTATTATTAGTAGCATCACCATGTTAATGCTCTCCAAAATCTAATGTCCTCCTAACATGTATATATAGCAGTTGGTATGATACAGATATACATGAGTTTAAATTTGTTACATATAATGAAATATATTACTACCTCCGGTCCTAATTATAAAAGCCGGTTGACTAATTTGAAGAGATTAAGGAAGTAAATTGAGTTAGTTATTTATCCTAAATAGATATTGTCTTTCTTAAAATATCCTTGCTGATCAAATGTATTGACTAGAACTATCATTGTTAGAATGGCTACTTTGAAAAAAAAAAAGTATAAATATGAGAGACAAAGTGGATTGAGGTCTTATATTTAGGATCAAAATAAAAATTAAATAAGGTCTTATATTAAGGACTAGAGGTGGTATTTGTTATATCTTCACTTTCATGAATTTTAAAATATTTTCTGTTTTAAATTTTTTTCTTTATTCCATCCTAATATGGGTATCATAAAATCACAATCAAAATGGACCTGATGAAGTCTTCGCGTATGCCCTTAGCGTTAAGAAACCTCACCGTCAAAAGAGATTTTTCAAACGTATGGATGAATCAACGTAATCAATCCTTTGGTTGATCTATATCTTCTTCGATAAAAATAAATCCAAACTTCGTTCAATCCATGTAGTATGTCCCACCACGATTATCATATAATTTTTTTAAGTTAAATTTTGACTTATGTTTGATGCCATGCGAATGCAAACTTAAAAGATTTATTTGCTGACAGTTTAATTTAGAGGAAGTTGATGATTACAAAAATTTAAACTACGGGGACTGACTTAAAATTTAAATGTGTCAACTTCTTTTTTAAATGATTTGTGAATTTTATATAGTTTTATATTATTATTATTTAATTGAACTAATTAAACTCGTTTTCTTTTTGAAATTCTAATTTTTTATTTATTTTGTGTGGGTGAAAATATAGATGCACTGGTGAGAACGGAGCTATTTTTCTTTTTCTTTCGAGTTGTTTGGAAAAAGGTTCTATTTGCACTTGTGTGTGAGAGAGAGACTTGCGTGCTTATAGTGGGAGAGAAGGACGGTGCTTTTTTTTCCCGATTCCTCTTTTTTTTTTTTTTTAAACTATTAGATTAATATTTTAATGGTTCATATTTAAATATTTTTAAAACTATTATTAAAATATTAAATTATAAAAATAAACCGGTTTTTTTCCCAGTGCGGACCGGAAGAGAACGACTTCGTTTGAGGGAAGTGGAGCGAAATGGACCCGATGTAGGAAATGGAGAGACCCTTTGCCACCGGAGAATGCGCCGGAAGAGACGCCGATGAAAGAGCTCAAAGCAACGCCCCAGAGAGAGAGAGAGAGAGAGTTTGCTGACTCCTGTTCATGGATGGTATTGACTTCCATTGGCCCCGTCGTCAACCCAACACGGTTATCATTTATTGCCACCCGACTGTCGACCTGTTTCCAAGTTTGACCTTCACCGGGCAACAGCAATAATTTTATAACCAGCTTTTCAAATTTACAAGATACGAAATAAATACTCCTATACTCTTGTTTATAAAACAGAAAGATAAATTTTATTTTATTTTATTTATAAGTCATTTAATTAAATTTTTAGCACGAACATACTATTTTGTTCTTTATTTATTAAGATAGTTATTTTTTAAATGTATATACTAAATAGGGATAAAGTTGAAAAGCTATTATATTTTAGTGGAGAGTTAATATAATTTAAAGTTTTTCTTTGTCTGTGTGAAATATGTTAAAAGTGTCTTATAAATAAGACCAAAAGAATATATAAAAAGCATTTTATCTTAACTTACATAAAACGTACTTATAAGCACTTAAATAAGTCAACCCAATCAAGCACTTAATTTGACAACTACCCGAACAAGTATTTTCTTAAATTATATATTATAATTTCATAATTATTATTAATGTTTGCCTCATTATTTTGCTAATTGTTTAAATTTTAGAATTTATTAAACTTTTAATCACAAAATTTTTTCGTTCATTTTTATATTTTTATTTTTGGGTAGAATAACGTCATTCATGTTAAGAGTTAATCTACAGGATTAGAGAAGGGTTTGAATTGTCTGAAAGCTTTTTTGAGATTGTTGAAAGCTTTTATTGTGAATTTGAAAAAGAAAGCCGTAGACCGCCTATAGCCATCTTATTTTCGTATTCTCAACGCCGAAGCTTATTCTCCTTCTTGGAAATTTCACAACATATTTGTTTCATGAAGCTATAGGCGAACCATATAAAACACCTAGCATGTTCACGTTCTCCATCACAAAACAATCAAACTGAAAAACATACACATCATCAGCATAATTTATGGATCATCGTCGCCATTACTCTTTCTTCTTCCTCTGTGCCGTTGCAGCCTTAGGGCTAGCGACCTTCAAAGGCATCCATGGAGTTGAGTTCGTGGTCACAAACAACGCAGAGACAACTCCAGGTGGCACCCGATTCAACAACGAGCTTGGAGCAGACTACACAAAGCAAACCATGGACGCAGCCACCAACTTCATCTGGAACATCTTCCAGCAAAACACCGACGCCGACAGGAAGAACGTCGCCACCGTAACCCTAACAGTCGAAAACCGGGAGGGAATCGCGGCTACCAGCGGCGACGTGATCCACGTCGGAGCAGACTACATCAAAGGAATACAAGGAGACATTAAAACCGACTTCAACGGTGTGCTGTACCACGAGATGACTCACGTGTGGCAGTGGTCGGGAGCTAACAGCAACACGGGACTCATAGAAGGGATCGCCGATTTCGTGAGGTTGAAGGCCGGCTATGCACCGAGCCACTGGGTTGGGGCGGGAGGCGGTGATCGGTGGGACCAAGGCTACGACGTGACGGCGAGGTTCTTGGATTACTGTGAGGGTCTGAGAAGCGGGTTCGTGGCTGAGTTAAACAAGAAGATGAGAGATACTTACAGCGACGATTACTTCAATCAGTTGCTGGGAAAACCTGTGGATCAGCTGTGGAGGGAGTACAAGGCCGCTTATGGCGGCTAATTAATTTGCCAAACTTACACGTACACATGCACATGGCTTAGCTTGCTTTGTTATTGTTGTTGTTATTTTATGAAAAATAAGAAATAAAACACATTTACGGTTTACATGTATAAGTTTACGTGCGGTTAGTTGGCTATGCAGTTATATATACATAGAATAAATGGGAGATATTATTATCATTTCACATATTTTGGAATCAATTATATAAGACAGTTAGGATTTTTTTTAATAAATCATAGGCATATATAAGATCATCAATAATACTAAAAAAAAGTCACCAACTCAGCTTCCGCTATTCATTTATTATTGTGCTTTTATTCATTTACTGTTATTTTTATTCATTTACTAGTTTATTTCTTTATTGTATGTTGATCGAGGGGAGGGATTAATTTGGTTTTTAAATACTTTGAATCAAAATGGTGGTGCCAGATTGGTTTTTATACTGGGAGAATCCAAAAAAGAAAATTAAAATTATTAAATTTCAAATCAAATTTGATAACAATACTTTAATATATTTTAATAATACTGAACTTGCAAATAATAACACATTTTTATAAAAATTTCTTATTTAAAAATTTGGTAATTTCAAAAATATTTTTGTGGAATTTTTTCTTATACATATTTTTTGTTTGAAATTCAATGAAAAAAGCTTAACAAGACTCTTGTATATAACTATTTATTAATCAGCAGCATCATCATGTTAATTAGTAGGCATGAAATGTGCTCCCACATTATTGTGCTCACATTTAAGAAGACATTGTTATTATTGAAATCAAACGTGGTAATTAATTAGACCTTAAATAGAATTTTTTTTTTTGGTGACAAGATAAATTTCCTTGATTAAAAAGATTTAAAGTACAATGACTGATTTTAAAATTGGAAAAAATTATGTTGGCCCAAAAGTTCAGCTTTGCCATTATCCTTTAACTGGGCGGGCAACCATTATCAATGTTTGTTGGGTATTATTGGCCCAATACTATCTATAGTCGTACCCACCCAGGCCCACTGTCAGAGCCCAAACTACTTGAATGTGTGGCCAACATTCCGGTTTTCCTCCCGTGGGGATACATTTTAATTGCCCAATATCTTTTTCAAATGATTTTATGTATTTTATATATTTTTATATTATTCTGCAATTGAATTCATTAAAGTCGTTTTCTTTGTAAAATTCCATATTTTTTAACATGCTATATTGAAAATATGGATGCACTGGCTAATTTGCGGTAGCAATGCATAAACAAGCAAGACGTGCTTATTATTATTGTAATATTGAATTATTTTCTCCCATCCAGAAATTTTTAAGGTAATTCAGTTATTGTCTCCACTATGTTAATAGTATATTTGACTTATTGTTATTGGAATAAATATTAAAAAAACTAATAATTTTAAAAAAAATTTGCTTATAGTTATTCATGCGAGCAGGTAACTGATCATGTTTCTTTTATGTTTTTATTATTTCAATTTTTGTGCTTGTGCAGTTATTATTATTTTAAAAAACTTTAAAAAAATTAATTATGAGAGTCCAATATATCACCAGAGTAATTCTTCTTCTCTTCTTGCGAAGCGTATCGTGGGGAAAAAAAAGGTATATCTCATTTGATCAAATATAATATGAACATATTTATAATAAGGGTTAATACAAATTATTTTGGTTTTGATCTATCAAATTTATTTTCATTTAAAACATTTGTCTCTATAATCCAATAAAAACTTAGATCATTTTATCATTTGAAGGACTAAAACTTATGGTTTGAAACTTGAGAGACTAAAATCAAAATGAGAATAAATTTAAAACCAAAATAAAGATACATTTGAGGAATTAAAAATTATATTAACCCTTATAATAATTAGGGACAATAACAAAAAAAGAAGCTGAAATTTTGTAAATACCAAATAAAGAATGTCAACAAAAATTTGTTGTCATTTGTAAATTTAGACTTGTCAATGCCAAATAAAGTTATGTTACCAAACCGAATTTGGGATTTGTAATTTTCAGTTTTTTTTTGTCATTCTCCCTAATAATTGTAGGAAACCATACTGTTTATAAGCTGCAAGCGGGTCGAGACAACGGTCAGATCCAATTCAATTCTTCAATCACTATCATGAAGAGTATGGGCATGTTTAGATTGCCGTTAGAAACAACAAAAGTGTCTTAGAATTTGTGAAACTGAGATTTATAGCTTATTTAGGGCCAAATGTTGTTGTTGGATGGGCTAAAAGCCCAACCAACTTCTAGCCTTCAATTTCAATTAGACTCAATAGAAGAAAATTTCACTTTTTTCATTTCAAACTGTAATTTCAAACGGTGATCATTAAAAATGAGCATTAAAATATACCAAGTCAGATTTACCCTCACATTTTTCCCTCTGCCTCATCTCCTTCATTAGCATAATACTTTTATTCAGACCAAATGAATTTTAATTTATATTCATATTTATCCATTATATATTTAATTAGTTATCTATAATGTTTTTCCAACTTTTTTCGTAACAAATATTTTTATTTTATAATCTTACAAATAAACTATTTTTATTTTATTATAATAATTTTAGGTTTTTTTTAACTATTATCATATTAAAAATATAAAATATCAAACACTACTATTCAGTAAAGTCTATGCCCTTTTCATTCATTTTATAATTGAACTCACTTGTCTATTTAGTCATCCAAACAACTTTTAACTTTTTCAATTGACTTTTTATAAGCACATATCTATACATAAATTGCATTACATTAACTAATTTTTATTCTAAGTTCAATTACAAAAGTCAATTAGACTAGAAGTCAGTTTTGTTCAATGCCAATGCAAACAGGCCCTATATTGTATCTCATTTCTCAAGTTTTGTACGACCTAGCTGGCTGTACTGAGAGGGCGCCGTATAGGTAACCAATTACGTATGGTCCGATCCTTTAAACAGAAATAGAGAAATAATTTCTACGTCTATTTCGTTTATCGATGAACAGTATATATTCGCTCCTCAGAGAATGTGTGTGTGTGTAGATGATGGGGAGAAAAAGGAGCCAGAGGATGAAAAATAATGAAAAAAAAAACTATGATTCAGCCAATCAACACACAATTTCCTTTACAAAATGGAGCAAAACCTTGTAATGACTCTTTCAAGTAAATAATTAATTCCTTCCCCTACATACAAAATCCCAGGAAAAAAAAGAAAGAAGAAAACTTTCTATCCTTCTCGTACGTTTGATTTCTTTTAACGCAGAGAGAGAGAACTGTCATACATATATGTGTGTATATATATCTGCAGAAAAAAGAAGAGAACAAGGCTGACGATAATGAATCAAACCAGCTGTTGTTTTATTTGATTCAATAATCAATGACCTCTTCCTTTGTGGCTTGGCCCAGAATAAGCCCTGTTGATGACCAAGCTTAAGAACGATGAAGGATTGGATTCATGCCTCAGAGGTCTCACCGCCCTCAACGTTCATGCTGCAAAACGAGAGCAAAACGAAGAACAAGATCATGGAAATGGCGTTAAATGCCACTGCGTGAGAATTATAACTCTTCATTCTTTCTTCTGCAATTTATAGCTTCGACTTGACCGCAGACGTTACTATATGAATGAACTGGTAATCACAAGCGGCAAGAAACAAAACAAACTCTATTGAAATGATGAGAATGGTTTGAAGCTGAAGGAATGTCCCTATATATATAAATACACACACACACAGAGATATAAATATATGTAGGTAGGTTGTGAGACACGGAACGAAAGAAAGATGCAATATTCAAGTTGTGTTCTTTGACTATCTGGTATGGGATGAGGTGGCGGATTTGGAAGGTTAACTTTTTTCAGAGTTTTGAACTTAAAAGGGTTTGAATTTGAATCAGTGAGAAGGAAACTGAAAGAAATATTTAATTTTGAAGTGGGAATTAATGGCAAAAAGGTATGCAAAGTAAAAGGAAAAGAATTATAAGGTTAATATTTTAGGACGCGAATCACGCGTTTTTTGACTAATGAAGATTTATGGTTAGTACGAGGCTGCAGAGCATTGTAGGATTGAAGAAATAGAATATCAGTGAAGTTGGTGAATGTGTAGGCGGTGGGCCTTTAATTTGATTTTTTTTTTAGTTTATAAAAACTGTTAACCTACTAAAATTGTTTCTTTGACCTTTTCTTCCTACTAATATATTTTAATCTGTGCTTTTCTGATGCCATCATGATTTCGTAATCCATTTGAACTAAAAGTTGCTCTAAGCACCCCCACTTTTCTTGATATTGATGTGCTTTAACCAAATAATATTCCCATTTATTATCATTGGGGTATATTAACGTTTTTTTAATCAATTTATATGAATAGTTTTTTTTTTGATTCATTGTCTTTCTCAAACGCAAATTCTTAGGAAATTTTGATTTTCTATACCGTGTATCATATAATTAAAAATAATGAATAAATATCTCTTACTCATAATCTTGTTCCTTTATACCGTTCTCTCAGTAAATTAAATACATAATAATTACAACTAATTGAATTTGGCTTCCTGTGCAAGCAAGCCAAGCTAGGAAACGGTAGCTATCATTTTTGTTTTCACATTAGTACCAAGTCTTTGAGAAATGAAAATCTACCTACCATGCAATCCAAACGTACTTCACCAAACCAAACTATAAAAAATATATTATTCGTTTCTTGTTCCCCCCATGGTTTCAACTCTTTATTTTTTAGCAATTTCCACATGAAAGTATTACTTGTACCACAATTTCACGTTTACTTTGAGTTTTGACCTGACTTTAAGCCTCGGGATCCAAAGTCCAAAACTGTGTTTGACCAATCGGTGCCACTTAATCCTCATGAAATACTTGCCCCTCAGGGAAAATTTTAGCACTCAGATTTTCTTAATTTCAAATAGGGAATAATTCAACATAAAACATTTTTAATTATTCAGTTAATTTAAATCATTTATGATTGTTAATGAATAATGAAAACTTATTCTAGAAAAGTTCATTTGTTAACCCAATTGACATTTTGTTATATATTATTGGTAATTAGATCAAGTGAAAAGAGACTATCAATTTCGCTTCCCTAAAAATAAATGTTCAAATTTTATGAATGAAAAAAGTCATGTTAAGGTAGGGTTAAAGAGATATAAAATAAGAGTAAGAAAAATTAATTAAAAATTCTTAACCCCACTTTCTTAAT